GCTGCATGCTGTATTCTGGGGCTCACTACTCACTGTGTTCTGGGGCTTGCTGCATGCTGTGTTCTGGGGCTCGCTGCTCACTGTGTTCTGGGGCTCGCTGCTCTGGGGACTTGCTGTCAACACCTGCTGCTCTACCAGTGTGTGCTTCCGGTGCTGAGGGGAGAGAAGAAGGAAAATAAAAAAGAGAGAATAAAAAATGAAAAAGAAAGAAAAAGAACAGATGGAGCAGAGGTGCTCCGAAATGAGCATCCTATTCTGCTGCCATCTTCCCACTGTTTTAATGGCCTGCAGGACTGATCATGGTCCTCTCCCCTGACCACAAGATATGACATTCCTGACCCTGACCGCTTCAGCTATTTTGGGACCGTGACGGACAACCGTTATTGTTGATTTGACTGAGGACTACTCTCCTTAGACGTTGAAATATGGCCATTTAGTTGAAACACAATCAGTGCAGTTGCCATGTTCCATGTACCTGGAAGGCAACGTGCTATGTCAAAGTCACATCAACAGCATGTGCCAGCAGCTTAGGTGGTAAACACACTGGTCAGGAGTGTCATATCTTATAGCCTGAGGAGAGGGCCAGAATCAGTCCCGCAGGCCAGTACAGCCAGTCTGGGCATTAGCAGCGAGTCAGTCAGCTGGGGACCTGCACAGGTATCAGTCAGGAGTCTGGTCATTTATCAGTAAGGGCAGACATTCCAAGCTGGTCAGGGGGTTTAGGTCACAGTCAACCCTCAGGGTCTGATTATTAAAAGTCAAAGCAAGTTATTTAAAGCCATCACTGTGGTGGGGACGTCAGGGAATTCAATTGTGGCTATTGGAATGCTGGGATACAGAGGGGAGCAATAATTGTGACAGGGAAAATCAACATATAATGATGAGAGATGATAGTGCATTGAGGGCATGGGTTACTGTGGGATGGTGGGTTCACCATTATCCTGGCTTCAGCAGGGAAAGGGACCATGGGGTGAGCTTCAAAGAGCTGGCATGGCTACCTTGTAGGGCCTAGGCTCGGGGAGTAATGTTGAAAGATGAAGACATAAATGAAAGACTTGTGTCAAAAATGTAGAAGGTCAGAACTTTTGGGTTCAACCGGGACTGCAAGGAAGAAAGGAACATGATGGTTTGGGGGTGTGTCACTTAGATGTGCATCATAACTGCATGATAGAAATAGAAAATGGTTGCAACCACATCTGGAGAGGGAGGAATAAGTCTTTTTCTCCTGTCTGAACGTAGGAGCTCTACTGAATGTAAGACCCTTCAAGAGGCAATTGCATTAATCAAGGACTTACACAGTACAAGTTAAAGTCATCTAAGATCATAGTACACTCCATTCGAAACCAATACACAATCCAATTGTGTGAGACACAAATCCTGGCCACAAGCAATCATGACAGTATAATTGGGCATTACGGACGTAGTCATCTCTGTCAAGCAAAAGTACTTACAGACAACCTTAACAGCATCATTTGCAGGCCGCAACTCACAATGGCAATCCAAGATCTCAGAGACTGAAGGGCTGACTTTCTCTCTCCTTGAACTGTAAGTACTTCCCATCATGCACTGATACGCAACAATGTCTTTCTTGAGAATGTTGGCGGGAGGCTGTGCTGGGGATGGTGTGGGATGGGGGAAATATTTCAGTAATACTTCCATACTTACAATCTTAAACTTTACTTGCATGACGTGGCTTGTACTACATACATCAGAATAAGGTCACTATGCCAAAAATCCATGTAGTGACTTTCTATGGCCTGTCATGTCGGAATCCTCCATGCCCCACTGTGGAGAAGACTATGCTAAACTATCATTTATGTGTGATTCCTCTTCCATTCTGATTTCTTCCTCCTGATTAAGCTTTTAGTCATTTCCCGTCATACTTTAAATTCTGACAAATCATCTTCCTGCCACCCATTTGCCAATGTATACTTTTGTCTTAAGTTTCATGCTTTCCCTAACTGTTTAGTTAACCATGGATGATGGGTCCTCCCTTCAGAACTTTCTTTATAGTAGGAATATACTTGTTCAGGATATCCTGAACGATCCCCTTAAATGTCTACCATTACATCTGTTGATCCATCCCCAGCCAACTATGGCGATTCACTTCAACTAGCTCAGTTTTCATGCCCATATTGTTGCCCATCTTTAGGTTCAAGATGATATGTAAGGCCCAATCTTCTCCCTTTTAAAGTGAATGTAAAATCCAATAATATTGTACCACCTGAGGGTGTCTTTATTCTGACATCAATAACGATTCATATCACATTACACAACACCAAGTTTAATATAGCCTGCACTGGTCAGTTCCAATACAAAAAGCTCTTAGAAACTACTTCAAATGTATTCTGAACTAGCACAAGCTAGTTGACACAATAACAACAACATCTTGATTTCCTGAGATCTTTCACAATGACATTAGAAAACAAGGTATGAAACCGAGCCAAATAAGAAAAAAAAACACAAAGGCAGATAACCAAAAGCTTGGTGAAATAGGTGTGTTTTGAGGAGTATCTTAAAGGACAAAGCCTCTGTCAAAAGGCAAGCAGATTTTGGGTGAGAAATTCAGTTTATGACCAAGGCAGCTGAATGTTGGCCACCAACAGCATTCCCTCCAATTTTCTTTTCTGCTGTGCGGGTCTCTAAGGTAAATACCACTATTATAATGCCAATGCTGATCGCCATGCATGAAACATTGGGGTGGCTGTGCACACAGCTGCGCAGCTTTGAGGGACCAGTGACCACCAATGTTACAAAAATAAAGTCATGGATGCTCAGCAGACCAGAATTTACAGAGCACAAATATCTGGAGATGTGGAACTAGTAGAGATTACACACAGATGAATTTGAAAACAAGATTGAGAATTTTAGAATTGAGGCATTGCATAAAGAGCGGTAATGTATGCACTCTAGTATGATAGATGGGATATTGAAGACTGAATTCTCACTGCGGTCTTGCGGCTCCAAAGCATATAATCAATATCCATGTAGTCTCTACATTCATTCTTTAGTCTGCATAATTTCCAGACTTCCGTGGCAGAAAACTAATATGTCCTTTTCTCAACAGGTCTGACTGCGGATGGCTTGGAGACCACATGGTGCCAAAGGAAAACGTTTTTGGCTCCAGGACAAACTCGATGTTTGTTGAGACCCTGGCTGCCACTGTGTAGACCTCAGCCATATTCCACTGTAGATCAATCCATGGCAGAGAGTGTGCACTCTTCATCAACTCTTCATCAGTCACCTTGAACCAAAGCCTACGTTTTCTCCTGTTAAGCTAAGTGCTGTTAAAGGTAAGGTCTATTGTGAACAGTTATAATTTTTAATTGTGCACTCCCCTACATGAACTTGACAGCATCATTGGCCAATATCTAATATCCCACAGTTAATTTTGTTGTATATACTGCCATTCATTATTTCTCCATCTTCTCTCCATCTTCAATTTGCTTTGGCCGCCACCTATGGTCCAAGTGGATGACTGACGAAGGGGTTGACAAGGAGCAAGCCTGGGTCCACAGTTATACTGTAGACATTGAAGAGAACCAGGAAAGACAAGTTAGCAAGCTATGTTTACTTGGTGAGATGGGAGAGGGAGTAATTGTAGTTTTGATACTTTTTACACTGAATTGTCTTTTTTATATTGGTCGTGCACTTAATTTACAGTGTCTTTAAAATGCCTTTTAAATTCTTAGTGAGTGATGTAATTGATGATGCCATATGTACACTCAGCAGTAAAAATACCACCATACAGACTTTTATATCAAGTTTGTTAGATTCTGGCCAAAGTTGGAGAATAGGAACACAGACTGTTAACATACTGCATATGGGCTGGTGACATAATGAGCATTTCCAGCATGTTGCACCATGACAGGCACGTTGACCAGTAAATAAAGCAATGAACTGAGATGCTGAAAATCCGAAACAAAACCCAGATTGCTGGAGAAACACAGCAGGTCTGGCAGGGTCTGTGTGGAGAAAATAGAATTAATGTTTTGAGGCCAGTGATGCTCTTCAGAATAGAACTCCGTAGCTCTGTTTTCTCTCCACAAGTGCTGTCAGACCTGCTGAGTTTCTCCAGCAATTTCTGTTTTTGTTTTGACCTTGAGCAGTATCAATGGCACGTTGACCAGTACTGCCTCTAAAAATAATATTAGTGATGGAATCATTAGTGCTACTGATATCAGGACCAGGTTTATCATTGGCCCCAAATGTCATAGGATACTGGCTTTTCATTGGTCCAGTACAACTGTGTTCCCTCTTGGTGGTTTCATATTCAAAGTTAAATTAATGTAAGAACCTGGTGTCCTTGATATAAATTTGAAAAAAACAACCCAATTGAGTGCTCAGAAAAAAGCCCTCGGTACATCAGCCATCATCTCACACATTGCCCCACTTAAGGCCAAGTGTTGAGTTGGGCAACAAGAGGGTGGGCAGCATTGGGGGGGGGGGTACTAGAGTGACAGGAGAGCAGTCAGGGAGGCAGCCTGAAATCAACAAATGCTGGAGATCACAGCAGGTCAGAAAGCCTCCATGGGGACAGAGCAAGCTAACGTTTAGAGTCTAGATGACTCTTCATCAGAGCTGGGAGGCAGCCTGCATTGAGAGAGACCAGAGTGACAGGGAGGAAGTCAGTGGGATTGCCAGTGGTACAGCTTTTGGGGACAGCAAGCAGAGAAGACTGACCAATTGGGCAACAACAGCGATGACTAAAGGACAGCCCGGAAGGGAGAGGGGGGCGGGGCCTGGTGAGAGGCGTGGCTGAGGATGGTAGAGGGCGTGTCTAGGAGAAGGGGGCGTGTCGCAGTGCCTAGCGCATGCGCCCTGGTGTCACGCCTCAGTGGGATAGAGAGAGAGTGATGGCGAATGAGGATATGCTGGAGCGGAGTGTGGACGCCGCCACCTCCTCCAGCTTCCGACACTTTCGTGTGCGGCATTTCCACCTGGAGCTGCGGGCGGATTTCGAGCGGAGGCAGCTGCAGGGGCGAGAGGTGTTGGAGCTGAGCTGTGTGCGGCCTGAGGGCGGGGGTCAGGAGCTCCGCCTGGACACTCACCCCAGCGTTAGTGTCCACTCGGTGTCAGGGCGGTGCGGGGACCGAGAAGGCCAGCTCCAGCCCCTGTGCCACAAAATCCAACCCTTCACCAGCTATGGCTGCACCTTGGTGCTCACCTTACCCCAGCCGTGCCAAACCGGTGACCAGCTGCAAGTAGTCATCGACTACACGGCCACCGATGGACCCGGGGTGAGTTCCTGCTCCCTTTAGGTTGGGAGTGAATGGTTTGATTTTGTTAAACCTGATTACTGTTAGCATTGAAGACGGTTAGATCGAGTTAAGGTACAGATCATCCTTTCTCTTGGCTGCACTTTATTCATTGCGTTCTGCTGTATTCGCTGCTCACAGTGTGATCTCCTGTGCTTTGGGGGAGACGAAACGCAGACTGGGTGATCGTTTTTGCCGAAAACCCACGTTCTGTCCGCAAAAGTGACACCGAGCTTTCAAAAACAAAACGAACTGGAGATGCTGAAAATCTGAAACGGTAACAGAAACTGCTGGAGAAACTCAGCAGGTCTGGCAGCATCTGTAGTGAGAAAGCAGAATTAACATTTTGGGACCAGTGACCCTTCTTCAGAACTGATAGCTGAAAAAGGTTGTAAATATGCTTAGGACTGGGTGATGGAGGGAGAGAGGAGAATGGGATAGGTGAAGACTGAGCCCAGAAAGAGAGAGAACAGCGGTAAGGGTGACAGGGGGATGGATGGTAGATAGTAAGCCAGGGAAGGAGACAAGCTGATAATGGGGACTGTAAGTATGTAAAAATAGGTTTGCTGAGCTGAAAGCAACCCATGTGATGACAGGGCCTGGAGTATGGGTAAAGGGCATGGTAAAGGATGTCAAATTATCAAATTGGATATTTAGTCCTAAAGGTCCCCAAGTGGAAAATGGCTTCTGTTCTTCCAGCTTGTTCTGAGCCTTGCTGGAGCACTGCAGCAGACTCAAGACAGAAATGTTGGCCAGGGAGCACTGTGGTGTGTTGAAGTGGTAGGCAGACAGAAGCTTGGGGTCATTCCTGTGGACACGTTTAGACGTTCTGCAAAGTGGTCATTCAGTCTACATTTCATCTCCCCAATATAAAGAAGACCATATTGTGAGTGAATACAGTAGCCTCGATTGAGTGAAGTGCGGGTAAATTGCTGTTTCACTGGGAAGGTGTGTCTTGAGCCTTGGATAGTGAGAAGGGAGCAGGTTTTGCACCTTCTGTGGGGGTGTGGGGAGGTCTCTGGAGTGGAGGAAGAGCTTCTAGTTGCCTGCCACTTCAACTCGCCACTGTGTTCCTTTGCCAATGTTTCTTTCTCAGGCCTGCTACAGTGCTCCAGCAAGGCTCAACACAGGCTCAACACAAGCTAGAGGAACACCATATCTTCTGCCTAGGTACCTTACAGCCTTCAGGACTCCACGTTGAGTTTAACTGTTTCAGAGTGTGAACACCTTCCTCGTTACCCATCCCCATGTCCTGTTCTGTATGGTTTGCTGTTAGCACAGCCAATTCATTTTCAGCTAGGCTGTGTTTGCTGACACTGTGGAGTATGCATACTACAGGTGTGTGGAAGAGAGATCTGGCTGGGGGAGAGGAGAACCAATTCTTCATTTTCTGTCTTCCCCTGTTGTTCTCTCTGTTTTGAACTGGCTGCTTTAGCTTCCTGGGTCGGTGTAAGACTTTCAGTTTAAGCACTACTGTTAGAACACTAATCCTTTCTGGGTCCCCTGAGTAGCATCAGAATTAGTGGAGTGTAATGTGACCACTAAACCAACTATCCTGTGCCATGAGGATTCAGTGGGATTGAATCAGAATCTCCCACTAGAAATGCGGAGGCTTTTTCTTGCCTTAAAATATGAGGAGTGGAATGGTAATTGACTACAAATGTCAGTCCTTGGAAAATCCAGTCCATATTTTAAAATTATTTTCTGTGACATTATTGAAGAAATACTGTTTTGGTTTGGATAATTTGTCAATGTTAGTTTTTTTTTTAAAAATCAGTCATGTGCCTGGCATGTGATGCTGATGTGTTTCCTTTAAAAATCCTCTAGTTGGAGTACAGAAACCACATCACTAATAGATCTTTGGAATCCTTCTCAAAGATTAAAATGTTTATTCTGTTTTCAAAATTCATATTTTCAAGCCTAACTCAGGACCTAAGATCAATTTTGTTATGATATTTAACACAAGTACAAAACCTGGCATGTTTTCTGATTACTTTTATAAAATTAGATGAAATATGCTTATGTTAAATTTGTGTAATGAGTAATGTTTCCCTTTTCAATGTCTTGTATAGTTGTCAAAAAAGTAGAAAGAAAATTGCCCTATTACTATTATGTTAGGAATGAACATGTTTTCATATATTTGTATTAAGTTTAAATAGATCCAAAAACATTGACATTGTGTAGAAGATACAGATCAAGTGCAATTTATTCTATCATGATCTCTGCTTCACCTACAGAATTTTATCTGGAGGAAGATTTGCGTAGAGTTCTGAAAAGTAGTGAATGAAAATATAGAATTTCTGTTCATCTATACCCCTCCAATATCCTGTTCTTCATGGACAATTGCACCACCCACCTCCTTTGCTGCTTATCCCTGTCACCTTTGAAATCAATTGAAAGTAAACCTTGGTACTGAAATTGCACCACTGATTACTAAATTAAATTGTTCATCTGAATTTCCATGCTGTGAAACTTTATTACAGGCATTAATCAATTTATTTTAAATGGGTAATGTAATAGCAGGGAAAGAAATTTCAAAAATTATTAAACATTTGTATGTTAGTAGCATAATGGCAAAGACTTTGGGGTTTGAATGTATGTAAGTATAGAAATTTGGTGTTGTCTCATAAGAATCAGCCAAATTAATTTGGCATATGATAAATACATCTTTGGGTATTATTCCTTAGAACTGTTTCTGTTTCAGTTTTTGTTCCTGATTTACAGCATCTGCAATTCTTTCGGTTTTTATTGCGTGACCTCTGTCCTGGGGAAGCAGGAGATGATTGCCTAATGCTGGCTGTTAGTCCTGATGGGCTTAGAATGTCTGTCCGGTCTGAGCTTGCATAATTAAGAGGTGTTAGTCCTTTTGTGTTTTAAGTTAGTAATGTTAGTAAAAATACTAGACCTATATGATCTAAATAAGTGAGAAATTATACACGTACTAAAAAAAAGTATAGAGGATATTAAACTGATCTCCTGCAGCTGGGTCATGAGATTTCATTTACTATCGTTGGTTTTGGCAGTTCTTGGCACATCCATTCATGCAGTTTCATGGAAGAGCTGTTTTGGTAGTAAGTTTCTTAAAGGGGGTAGCATCCCTATTTAACGCGTTTTTGAAAAGTATAGATCTGTACGTTTGTCAAGATGTTAGTCCGAAATAAATGTTAGAAATAGGTAGTACAGTGTTATGGAAATAGTTAGTGTATCAGGAAATTTCAAAGAGATAAAAAGCAGCAGACTATAGGGACGTGGTAGTGGAGGAAACTGTTTGATGTCCTGCAACCTATTCAGGTCCTGAGAGATGGTTGCTAAGGGCTAATTAATATTATAATCTTTCTATAGTTTTGAGTGAGTTATAGAGACATGGTGGCAGGATGGCATTGTTCTGAGTAGGTTACAGTATTAACACTTATTCAGGGGCAACTTTTGATGCAGAAACAGGTCTAACCGCTGCTTGCACAGCCAAAAAGAATTGATAGGTGGAAAGAAACAGTAATGGTGTGGAAGGGTTGTTTAATGTAGTTTATCTTTTAGAATAAAATGTACTACAAAAACATAGTTTTATGAATGAGTGAATGGAAATATGGTATAGCAAACATAGAATGCTTGTGAGTGAGTTAGTAAAGAGAATCATAATACAATATCTCTCAGGACCATGGGAACATCTCTCCAGTGGAGACAGACAATTTGTTACATACAGCTTGGAGAATAACTACTCTACATGTTGGCAGAGGTGAGGAGGTAGGCCTCTACCAACTAGAACTGCTGGTACGGGGATTGAATGCACGCTATTGGCTTTATTTAGCACCACGCCATCTGAGCTGACCAACCCCACAATATTTGAGTGAAGACCAGTGTGATGAGCTGAAGAATTTTGACGAGCAGTTTGAATAGATTAATTTAATAGTTAAAGACTTGAGGCTAGCATTGATCGCACTGAGTTTTATTGGTGATTCATTAACTGATCTTTAATCATAGGAACTTGGCAGGCATTGATTGGGGCAGAAAGTTTCTACATTGCAGTAGGTCCAAATGTAAATAATTAGGAAAAAAAAGTAGAAATTTCAAAAAAAAGGAGGAGAACTAATTGGATTTATACAATACTTTTCACAATTTGGGTCATCCCAAAGTGCTTTAAGTACTTTTTGAAATGTAGCCACTACACAGTTGTCCTAGCTACAGCTATACACAAAACGCTATGAGTATTATTGCTAAAAACTGAAGTCTGTGTTCCATAGTAAAATCTGAAAGAATTTGGATGCTGTAAATGAGGAGCAAAAATAGAAGTTGCTGGAAAAGCTAAGCAGGTCTGGCAGCATCTGAAGAAAAGTCAGAGTTAATATTTTGGGTCTGGTGACCCTTCCTCAGAAGATTTTTCATCACAGATACTGCCAGACCTGCTGAGCTTTTCCAGCAATGTCTGTTTCTGTGTTCCATAGTAATTTGGCAATATTTTTCCAATGTAAAAGTTAATTTATTGCTTTGCCTTTTGCCACTCCAGATTTCCTGGCTTCATCCAGTACAGACTGCCAACAAAGAGAAAGCTTTCTTATATACGTCTGGCTTTCCTGTGCTGAATAGGTCTTTATTTCCCTTCTTCCACACCCCAGGCAGGAAGAGCACGTACTCTGCTGCTGTGCAGGTAAAGTGCTCTGTTTCTGTATGAGTACAGCTTGTCATTGTGTTCTTTTTGTTAGGTTGTTTGGCTGGACCCAGAACAGACAGCAGGAAAAGTCAAGCCATACCTCTTCACTCAAGGTCAGGCTGTCTTGAACAGATCCTTCTTCCCTTGTTTTGATACCCCTGCAGTTAAGAGTACTTATTCTGCCTCCATTAAGGTAAGGCCTTTGTATCAACTTTACTTCTGAATTTGACATACCTAGGATAATGAGGGTTGAAAACTGCAGAAACTGTTGAAATATGTCCAGGTGGAACTCAAAATCATTTGACGTTGCTGTGAAACCATGTGTGCGATTTTCAAAATGAAAATATTGCGCAGTTGTAAGTTCAAGTGGTACAATTTTGATGCTTAAGACAAGTGATTGATAATTCAATGACTTGTTCCTTTTAATCACTACATGATTCTAAATGTTTCTAACTGGGGATTTTGATCGTTTCTATTTCAATTCATTTTTTTAAACACTCTGAAGCTACTGATGTGAGGGATATATTAGCACGTTATCCGTGTGATCGTTCCTCTTTCAGTGATGCCGTGATTTGAAATATTGACAGATTGCTGTCCATCCTTAACCTTATTGTTATTGGAGCAGGCTTCATGACAGCGAAGGGGGGAATCTGTTCAAAATGTCGCTTCAAGATTTTCTCTGCATAGCAGGTTTAAGATGATGGTGATGGAAAATGATAAATCAACCACAGTTATGGTCATTAAATATTCAGATATGTCATTTGATACATCATATGAGTTTGATAATGTAACCAAAATGCTGTTGGAATGAAAACTATTTTTGCACATTCCACAAGATGAAGAGGATGTCAATAAAGCCATATCCAAGTAGTCTGAGCTGAACAAAGATATATTTGGCTGTTCTGCAGTTTGGAATTGAGGAACTTTTAAAATAGGATAGAATTTCAGTTGTCTTAACAGACTAAATATTGAGCAGAGGTGATTTGAAAGGTCATAAGACCACTCCCCCACGTCTTGGCTATATGTTTATTTGGATTGAGTAATTCAATATTCATATACACAAAAATTTCATAATTTTGACTGATGCTCTCCATAGAAAACAATAAAAAAACCTGCAACCAGCATCAGAGGCCGGACATTAACAAATGCTAGATCCCATGCTGTAGTGCTTCCACACGTTGGTTGTTTCCCTGCTCTAGTGTGAGATTAATATTCCCATCTGCCTGGCAATATGCCCAGTTACCCAGGTATATCTTCTATCCAAAACAAAAGCAAGACGAAGCTAGCCTGACCTATTAATGCTGTATCAGCCGTTAATTTCTGGATAAGAAATTGAAGTATTTCTCTTGGGCAAAGTGTGACTTTTTAATATTTCTGTCACTTGTTTTTTAGGTTCCTAAAGGCTTTACAGCAGTTATGAGCGCAACTGACTGGGATCATGATGAAAAAGAAAACATATTCCACTTCAAAATGCAACAACCAATTCCTTCATATCTTGTTGCTTTAGCAGTTGGTGACATTGTCTCTGCTGAAGTTGGACCGAGGTGAGCTCGTTGTCTAGCTATTTTACAATGGGTATAATTTCAAGGATGCGAAGTTTTTACCAAGTGGTGAATTCTAACATTGGAAAATTAGAAATCTGCCATTTGAAGTCTTGTTTTTGACCTTAGCGTTCAAAGCAAGAAGTGATTTGTTAGATTCATTAATGGTCACCCTCCAAGAAGGCTGCTCCTAACAGTCTGGGTTTCTGCCCAGTCCAGTTAAAAGAAATTGGAATTGTTACTGATGGATTTTATTTCAGACCAGACTAGTTGAATATCCAAGAAGCTGCCACTTTTGTCATAAGTGCTTACTCCAAACAACTATTAGTTAAACTTGACAAGAATTTTTTTAAAGCGTCTAATCACAAAGTTGTTTGTTCCTAGCAACTGACAGCCGCTTCTCCCCATTCCAGCTGTCCCACATCAGAGCAACCTGGAGAAATACAGGTAGTTGGGAAGATGGAGAAGATGAATGAATGAGGGGGGTGAGAGAATGGAGGGCATGAGTAAGTGAGTCGGGAGAAGTGGGGTTTGGGGCACGGGTGAGGGAGAGGGGATCGAGGGGACACACGGGTGAGGGAGCGGAAATAGAGGGGATGCATGGACGAGGGGGCAGGGAAAGCCGGTAAGAATAGTTTGTAGTGGTGGAAGAGGAGGTGAGTGCAATCTATGGGAGTGGGAGCATGGCTTATGGAGTCTTCTGGCATAATGCTGTATGGAGTTGGCTTAAATCCTCGAGTACAGAAAATAACATTTTTACAAAAATACTTTAGAAACACCAATTTTCATATTATGCTGTTACTATATGTTTATCTGTAATAGCTGAACATTTTACTAACATTCCAAATGTTACTATCCTGCTGTATTGCCTTTTTTTGTTGGCATTTGGAGTCATGTTATCTTTCAGGAGTTTATGCATGAACATAATCTAGCCAGTTTGTTAAATATGGACATTCTATTACATGCACAAACTTCATTGAATGTTGAAATGCTGAGATCACTTTGGTGATGCATTTGTCTACAAATTTAACTATATTAGAAAGTAAACAGAGAAACTAATGTTTCGAATAGCTTCAAGTCTAAAAGTTCCATCCATTTGAAATGGCCCAGAAACATGTGCATTTCGTGATAGATCATCAAGAGTGACATGATTCCTTCCCACAAAACTTTTCTGACTGCTCTTGGCACAGTGGCAGTGGTTAACACTGCTGCCTCTCAGCACCAGTGAAGAGGGTTCAATTCCAGCCTTGAATGAGTTTGGGTGTGGAGTTTGCACATTCTCCATGTGTCTATGTGGGTTTCCTCTGGGTGCTCTAGTTTCCTCCCACAATCCAAAGATGTGCAGGTTGGGTGGATTGACCATGCTAAAAAAATTGCCCTAAAATGCCCACAGATATGGAGGTTAGGTGGGTTAGCCATGGTTAAAAACCCCATGCAGAGTTATGCAGATGGATTGGGTCTGCATGAGAATGCTCTTTGGAAGTCAGTGCAGACATGATGGTCCGAATGGTCTGTTTCTGCACTGTAGGGATTTTGATTCTACAGCACTCGCACTGGAGTTTAAACATGCTGAGAAATCATTTTCAGTTCTCTTTTTGCCAGTATACAACAGTTAATGTAAAAGTTAATGCCTATCGTTATCAAAATGAAAGTTTTTTTTTTACTGAACAGAATTTATTATAAGTGATTAATAATGAAGAAAGGGCAAATTCCCAGCTTTTCACTGCTGATGAGGATTGAAAAAAGACTGAGCAGTTTTTGTTTTTAAGTTGTGTCCAAAAAAGAATCCTTTCAATATTCCTTTAGTCCAACCATCTTTTTCATACATATGACCAATATGAATTCTGATTTGTATTTGTTTCATGTTGGATTATGTGGTGAGGCCCAGTGTAAGTCTGTAGGATGATTCAGACATGATGAGACATGAGGCTTATTATAGAACAGTAGCTGATATTTGACAATGCCATCTAATTTAAATATTCTCTTTCTATGTCTGACTGCTATGACAACAGGTTTGTGGGGAACGAGGAATGCAGGAGTTCTTAAATGGCTGCACCCTTTTAGAGTTGATTATTTTGAAATCGTTGGGTGTGCACACCTAGAATAAGAAAAGCTATTAAGGTCGTTTAAGTTCAGCATGGGAGTGTATGTGTTATGTTTGAACCAAGAACCACATCCATCATACCATTTCAGCACTTAAGTGTTCAATTTGTTTGTCATACAAAGGTGGCTTTTCGAGCATGAGATCAGGCATTCAAAGACACACGATCTTTACATTCTGATCAGAGGCCAGCAACAAAAAAGGGTACAGTGAGAAAGGGACAATGAGTAGATCAATAAACTGCTTTCATTTTCTGTGGAACTTGTAATTATACAATTTGGTTTATAATATTAGATCTATTGTCAGAAGGGACGCATGAATGTTGTATACAAGTAGCAAGAATCTGAAAGAGTTAATGAAGATGAGGGTGACAAGGCAGAGCATTTTAAGGGAGCAGTATAGAAAGGAGAGGCTGTCAATATAGCTAAACTATAATTTTTACACAATATTCTACCTTTGTGATTGTGCAACATATATGTTGGTCAGTGAATCTTGTAACTTTATATGTTGCAGTGGTTTTTTTTGCCATTGGTCAAGTTTTTTTTGCCATTAATGAGATTCTGCACTTTGCAGAAGCCATACACATGTGAAACATTGGACATCCTCTCCTGGTTTTCAGGAGGAAAGTAGGAGACGTGTATCTTTAGACATGGCGAATCTTTCATGAGCTTGATCAAATGGTGTGCCGGATGTCCCAGTGGTGAGCTGAAAGGATCCAGTAAATTTCAGTGCTTATGGGTGACCTTTTTGCAATGTTAAGGCCAGTCCATGTGCCAGATCTTGTGAGCATATCAGGCTGTGGGGGTCGGCAGAATTTTGGGGAATAACATAATAATGCCAGAAATTGCAGCAGGAATAGCTTACAGTCTGATGATCGTGTTAAATGCTGGAACAGATTCGTGGGAAATCTTTGGCTTCAATTCCATCTTTCTCCCTGCTTCGCACACCTATTGATTCTCTGAAACATTCAGTCTTTCAGTCTATCTTGGCCTTGAATGTGTTCAGTGATGGACCCTCCACAACCCTCTGAGATAGAGAATTTAATAGATACACAAACCTTTTTGAGTGAAGTAATTTCTCAATTCAGCCCCAAATGATCAATCTCTCAGCACCTACTTTGTCAAGCTTCTTCAGTATATTGTATGTTTTCAATGAGATCACTTCTCACTCTTCTAAACTCCAGAGAATATCGATCTAATTTATACAGCTTCTCATTACAGGACAACCCCCTCAGCCCAAGTACCAGTTTAGAAAACCTTCACTGTACCACCACCAGTGCAAGTAAAACAATGGTTCGAATTGATCTGTTTATGGCTAACACTTCCTTCTGATCACAGCTAAAGAAACTATTTTATGAACTGGAGCATATCATTTTTCCAAAGTTGCTAGATGCAGGTACAATTATAACATTTAAACATTTAGACAGTTACGTGAATAGGAAAGTTTTAGAGGGATATGGGCCAAGTGCAGTCAAATGGGACTAGTTTAATTTGGGAAACCTGCTTGGCATGGACAAGTTGGACTGAAGAGTTAGTTTCCATGCTGTATGACTCTGACTCTATCTCTTTAAGCGTATGTTATTAACATTGGCAGCAAGGCTAAGCCAGCGCCAATTTCAGCGCACTGTTTGCTGACCCACTTGTGCAGTCAAGACTTAGTTTTGTAAGGAAATAAATTTGGAATGCTCGGAGCACAGGATCAGTGTGATGTTTGATGTTCGATGTTCATGCCTTTTATTTGCTCACTTCCCAGTCCAAAGCTGTGTTTGCAACTGGGGATGATTTGGTGTTTTTGCTGAAGGTATCACTCCCACATGCAACTGTCATCCCTCCAAGCTATATACTATCCTAACTTGGAAGTATATCGCCATTTACTCACCATCTCTGAGTTAAAAGCCTGCAACTCTATCCCAAACAGTACTGTGGCACCACAAAGATTGTAGCAGGTTAAGAAGGTGACTCACTGTCATTTTCTGAAGGACTATTAGGAATGGACAACAAATGCTGGCCTAGCTAATAATGCTCATATTCTATGAACAAAAAAAAGTCAGAGCCTATTTCTCATTGTAGGTTGCCTGAAGACTGGTTTCCCCCTAATTTGGCTATGATGTTTCTATGTCTAAAAACAAAGCTCCTGGGCTGATTTTGGTTGCTTGCCTTTCTTCCCCGTGTATGAGCATCCTGTCCTCCAAATCCATGATCTTCTGTCCAGTTCTAACTCAAGAGAAGGCAGGCTTTATTGAAATGTATGTTTGTTTTCTTACTTTCTACTCTTCTACCTCCTTGCACCTTGTCTTTTGAACACACACTTCCATTTGTGTTTCATTTCACGCTTTCTTTTTTTTTGCTCTGTTTTTCTTTTATAAAATAATTTTATAGCATTCATTGTATAATTATAAATCGACCTGGTTGGTCCCCTATCTATTCCAAATATGAATTTTTTCCATGTTGGTCTTCAGTCTACATCTGAAGAAGACATCCCATCTGTTCGTGTTTACCTATGTATTTGAGCATCCAATGAATGCTCTCAACTTTTATAGTCACAATATAAAAGAAAAGAGAGGTGGTAACAGGACTATTTCTGGACATTAAGCTTCATTCAGTGAACTAAACAGTTCTTCTAAGAATGATGTCTGTTGTCTGAGTAGAACAATTACATCGACTAAAGTGCATAGATTTCATTGTTTAATTCTTAACTGTTTAAAAAATATTGACAGTAGCCATATTTCTGGGACAGGAGTCGTGTCTGGACTGAACCTAGTCTGTTAGAAGCTGCTAAAGAGGAATATGACGGTGTGATCGAAGATTTCTTGAAAGTTGGTGAAAAGCTGTTTGGGCCATATGTGTGGGGAAGGTAAATCTTTCTGTCTTTTATTCAAAAAATCTTGTTTAGGTGCACAGTTCCTGCCTATAAATCTTGCTTCACATTGTCATCACCTTTTGTTAATTCTTTTGTATTTAATTTAAAATTACACATTTATTTAATGTTGGAGCTGCCAGCATAAACATTTTATGATGGTGTTTGTCACAGATTGTCAATGAATTAAGTGAAAGACCAGTAACAAATGTCTATTCTAACTGAAAATTCTAATGACTGAAAGAAGCAACTGGTTTTCTTCTTCCTTGCATGAGCAAACCCTCTTTGTCTAAATTAACATCTATTTGCCCAATTCCACCTGCATGCATGTCTTCTCCTGTGTACAACACTGGAGAATCAACCCTTTGACATGCAAGTTTGTTAAATTCACGGCTTTGCTTGTACATCTTTCTTTTTGCTCACATACTCATCTGCCCTCCCCTTTGTCCTCCTCTTGCCTTTCAAATTTTTCATGTGTGAACTTCTGCTATTTCCCTCTGTGTTTTCATTTTGTTTAGTTTTTTTTCTAAATGTGCTTTGTAGTATACATAGCCCACTTTAATATGAATGGCTCCTAACTGGCATTTTTTTAAAATGCCTATTTTGCAATCATGCTATTAAACTTGACTCCTTTGAATTTGTTGTGTGTTTTTAAATACCTTTCAAAAAGTTCTTACTGAAGCTTCAACTCGCTCAATAACCGTAAAACAATTGGACAGTTTCTTTTCTCATCTGTATAACGTAAGTAAGTTTTATAACACACATCAGTAAATCAGTGTGTCTGTTGCTGTTGGTGTTTGACTTGACGCCCTGGGGTTTTAAATATTCAACTCTATGCCTAATGGTAGTATCTAGAAAATGGGTACTGAAAGATTTAATTGAAGAGGCAATAAAACAAAGAACTGGGGATCTGGTAACAGCTAGCAATTTCTGTTTTTTGTTTCATTGAAGAGGACTATGACCGTCATAAATCTCTGCAGATTAGATTGTAGGTTTTAACTCCATTGTCCGCTGTTTTGATTTAACATTCTGAAGAACAACTTGTTTGTGTTGTTATCTGCAACATATGAGGGTAATGCAAATGCTACGTATAAGGTCATTTCATTAATTTACTGTCCTTATCTGTTCATTTTATGCACAGTGTTCATTGTAGCTGATGGTCTCCACTACACCCTTGATAAAAGATACAATCTGGTTATTTATAAACAATTTGGTGATTTGTAAATAATATTCCGGTATTATATTTTTATGATGTCTTTTTAATAGTTAAGATTTCAGTCACTGACATTGATCAATTGAATTGGAAGACAATGTTGGAAAGAAGTATCTAAGATAATTGTATTTGTTTGTCTAGATCCTGGATTTATTTTCCAAAAATAAGCTCATTTTCAGACTTCTTATTTTTGTGTCCTCGAGTTAATGTTACAGCTGGTAGCACTCTCTGAAGCTTTCGGGTTTAATCCACATTAAGGATTTAAGATTGCAATCAAGGCAAGTCCCTTCATTGGAGTACTTTCAGGATAGTTGCAGTTCCAGAGTTGCAATCTTTCCACTTAGATATTAGGCTGAGTTCCCATCTATTCACTTACGTGGGTGTAAAAAATTCCATGGCATGAATTGGACAACATTAAAAGCGATTTCCTGGTATCCTGGCCAGATATTTCAGTTTCAGAAGTAATTCATTATTTATTGTTTGCTTCTACAAGTCCTGAGAACATGATAAGCTGCAGATGTTTTTCCTGATCAAAAAACATTATCATTTTTTGTCTATGACATATTGTGAAGTTAGATTCGAAAGTTGTGACTAAGGAAAAGGCTGAGGGCAGATTTGATGGAAGTTTTTCAAATCGTGAGGCGTCTGAGCAGAGTAAATAGGGAGAAACTTACGTCGTGTAAAAGCATTTAAAGTGTTTTGCAGAAGAGGTATATGCAAGGTGAGAAAAGCTTTTTCACACGGGTGGCAAGATGGCTCAGTGGTTAGCACTGCTGCCTTACAGCAGCAAGGACCTGGGGTTCAGTTCCTGCCTTGGGCAACTCTCTGTGTGGGTCTTTTTCAGGTGCTCAGGTTTCTTCCCACAATCGAGAGATGTGCCGCTTAGGTGAATTGGCCATACTAAATTGCCCATAGTGAACAGGGATGTGTAGGTTAGGTGGATTAGCCATGGGGATTGCAGGGATAGGGTTGGGGGCGAGTTTGAGTGGGATGATACTCAGAGTTGGTGTGGATTTGTTGGGCCGAATGGCCTGTTTCCACACTGTAGGGATTCTTTACACAGTCAGTAGTTATAAGCCAGGGTCTGCAATACAGTGCATGTAAACGTAGTGGAGGCAGTTTCGATTGCAGCAATCAGAAAGCCATTAGATCGTTTAAGTACAAAGAATGTGCAGAATTACAGAAAAAAGACAGGAGATTGGCTCTCTGAACATTTAGACTTAGTGTCAGTGTAGATACAAGGGGCTGAACGACCACCTTCTGCACCATAAAATTCTGTGGTTTTGTGACTCGTTTTTATGCTATTAGCTAAATTCTGTTTGACACATGGCTCTCTGCCTGCATGCTGTTTAGCTGCATAAAACTTAATAGCCAAATTTAAAATACATGTACATTTACTGGAAGATAAAACTATCAACCAGAATCCCTGTGCTGTCTTTCAAAGGGACATTCAAAAGATTGCACATCACTTTGCAGATTCAGAGTGGTAGGTTACATAGTGGACTGTTTTCTTATTGAGTTCTTTGTTTGTAATTCTGTACTAAGCTAGCTTCTGAGAATTGCTTTCAACTGAGATGTGGTTTTTAAAAATATTTTATAAGTTGAGTTCTCTTGAAATCAAGGGAGTGGTAAGATTGGTGAATAGGTTTCAGAAAGCCAAGATGAAACCACATATTACAGTACAGAAAGTGAAAGAGAAATTCTGGAGATGCTGCAAGTCTGAAATGAAAATACTCAGCTGAGTTAATGAGTTCTGATGAAATGTCAAACTTGTTTTTCTTTCCATCACTGCTGCCTGAATTGTTGTGTTTTAAGCTTCTGTTCTTACTATAGTGCGGAAAATAAACTCACATGACTGAATTGATATGTCAACTGGCACTAGACTGGGTTTTTAGAGATCTCTCATCAAGATTGGATGCAAATTGCAGGATACAGCTCTGTCTCTGCCTAGTTTCATCAGTTCTTCCGTAGGTTACATATTCTAACACCGGTCCATTCCTGCATCCAGCCACAGTGACCACTTCAAATCTTTATTTGCAGAACTAATAGTTTACGATTAGTGTTGTATACCATGGTTAGTGAGGAGAAGGTGAGTGTTGGGAAATGATATAGTGAGAGAAAACTGCATGTGGATACGTTTGGGTGGTGTGCGTATGCTTTTTCAAAAAAAAATAACGGCAAGTTTCTCATAACATTCTAAGGTACGATCTTCTCTTCATGCCTCCGTCTTTCCCATTTGGTGGGATGGAGAATCCCTGTCTTACGTTTGTTACTCCATGTCTGTTGGCTGGAGATCGTTCATTGGCTGATGTCATCATCCATGAGATTTCTCACAGCTGGTTTGGCAATCTTGTAACAAATGCCAACTGGGGAGACTTCTGGCTTAATGAAGGCTTTACAATGTATGCTCAGCGGAGAATTTCAACAGAACTTTATGGTATGTCTTTTAAGAATGTACGTTAGTGATTTAGAATTTCTCCCAATTGTGATTTCTAAAACTACGATAATGCTGTTTATTCATCATTGTACCATTTGGGTGTACTGCTCAATTGAGGTATGGAGCCTTAGTACATTTCTTTCAGAGGTTTTTTTTAAAAGTTATGTATTTATTTCATATGATTTAAAATGTAAATATTTAAGTGTCACCTAATTTCATTAGTCTCATTGATGATTTTGTTAAAACATCAATTTTTTTTAATGGAGTTACTGAAGGAAATTGTTTCTCCTCATAACATTCACAATGGAGATTTTCCGATGTGTTGTCAAGTTAGAACAGACTCATGGTAAGGAACTAACTAGAAGGTAGTCACATCTCACTTTGGGGAGTTGTTGAGAGGGGTTACATTCTATGCCATATAGCAGATCATAGGGTGTGTAATTAAATCATCTTCATTAGTAGTTTTATTGTGCTGAAGGGCCTAAAATATGGGAGAAAAGGGAGAAATTTTAAAAACAAGGTCATTGGTTTTAACATTTTAAGTCTGGTAAAGGTGTGGTCGAACTAGTCATGAGCATTCTCATTGTCACTGCCTGTGGCACTCCAGGAGAGTTTGAGGGAAAGTTAGATCATCGCTTTTCAAAACTAAAATTGTTGTCTGTTCCCAGTTTTGCTCTTGAAACCTAAATCCAGCCCCTGACAAACTGCTGAATTGTTTGCTGTCAATTGCATCTACTCTTATTTACACATAAGCTTTGTTGCATGGTGTTATGGATATTGTTAGCAGCAGGTTAATTGATCTGTACATTTTATTTCTCAGGTGCAGCATATACTTGTCTCGAGGCTGCTACAGGGAGAGCTCTGCTTCGACAACACATGGATAACACTGGGGAGGACCATCCACTCAACAAACTGAAGGTCAAAATTGAACCAGGTGAGAGTTTAGCCTTTAGATCTACACATAAACAAAGTGCTAAAAAACTCAGCAGGTCTTGCAACATTCATGGAAAGTAAAACAAAGTTAACTTTCCGATCCAAAAGACTCTTCTTCAGAACTGAAGCAACCTTCATGAATATAATGAATTAAGAAAAAACTTTATTTAGATTCACTTAGTGAATCCTGATGCAGGCTTAATTTCAAAAATCCTTCTAATTAATAGAGCCTACTCTATAATTTTTACTATTATTAGTAATCAAGTGAATATTTCAGTTTTGTGAACAGAAATGTGAACTCCGATTGGACACCTGTGACAAGTGGTGTGCCCCAGGAGTCAGTGCTGGCCCCATTCCTGTTTGTTATCTATATCAATGATTTGGATGAGAATGTACAAGGCATAATTAATAAGTTTGCGGATGACACTAAAATAGGCACTATCATGGACAGTGAGGAAGGTTATCGGCAATTGCAGCAGGATCTTGATCAGCTGGGGAAGTGGGCTGAGAAATGACAAATGTAATTTAATATAGGTAAGTCTGAGGTGTTGCATTTTGGAAAGTCAGGTCAAGGTAGGGAGTTTCATGGTGAATGGTAGGGCCTTGAGGAGTGTAGTGGAGCAGAGGGACCTTGGAGTTCAGGGGCCCAGTTCTCTGAAAGTGGAGTCACAAGTAGAGAGGGCAGTGAAGAAGGCTTTTGGCACACTGGCCTTCATCAGTCAAGGCATTAAATATAGAAGTTGGGAAGTTATGTTGCAGTTGTACAGGATGTTGGTGAGGCTGCACATGGAGTATTGTGTTCAGTTTTGGTCACCTTGCTGTAGGAAGCTTGTTATTAAACTGGAAAGAGTGGAGAAGAAATTTACAAGGATGTTGCCAGACTCGGGGACTGAGTTATAGGGAGAGGTTGGACAAGCTAGCACGTTTTTCTTTAAGCGTAGGAGACTAAGGTGTATCTTATGGAAGAGTGTAAGATCATGAGATAGGGTGAATGCACTCAGTCTTTTTTACCAGGGTTGGGGAATCGAGGACTAGAGGCCATCAGTTTAAGGTAAGATGGGAAAGAATACATAGGAACCTGACGGGCAACTTTTTTACGCATATGGAATGAGCTACCAGCAGAAGTGGTTGAGGCAGCTACATTAACAACATTTAAGAGGCATTTGAATGAATACATGGATAGGAAAAGTTTGGAAGAATATTGGCCAAATGCAGGGAAATGGGGTTAGCATGGATGGACATTTTGGTTGGCATGGACCCGTTTGGGCCAAAGGGCCTGTCTGCGTGTTCTTGGACTCTGACTAAATGAATGGTTGCAGACATTTTGCAATTATGTTGCTTTGTTTGGATTCACATTTTATATAGGTCTTGCATAGAAAATATTGTTTTATTTTGCTCACCTCAATTTCTTTACGTCCCTCATCCACACTAAGCTAACCAAGCTTCCACCCAACTTGCTATACTCTAGCCTCTCAGGTCCAACCCACATCTGGTGTATTGACCTGTGACTTAGAGGTTGCGCACCACTCTCCAACACTTTGTCTCCTCCTGAGCCATGACCCCACCACTGAACATTACGCCATTGTTTCTAGGATTGTCACTGAACTCATCTCCTCTGTCGATCTTTGCTCCACAGCTTTCCACCTTGGAGTTCCCTAACCCTCTTCTGGCCTGCTTCTACTATTTTTGAGAAATCCACAACAGAATGCCCTGGCATACCCACTGTTTCAGCTTGTACCTACACCACTGAACTTACCTCTTCATATTCCATCTCTTCTAACTTACATTTCATTCTTCTGACACTTTACATCAGATCCACAGTTTTCAGTTTCATGGCCGCAAGCACCACCTCTTTACCATGGGCGTGCGGCCCCTCTACACATCCATCCCTCACCAGGACAATCTGCCGGCTGTCTTCCTGTTTCTTGGATGGAGGTCTGAACAGTTGTCACCCACCTTCAAACTTCTCCGCATTGTTGAGCTTGTTCTTCTTTGAACAATTTCTCTTTTAACTTGCCTTGCTTTCTCCAAATAAAGGTATGGCCATGGCCATGCACGTGGACCTTTTGGCATTCCTATCTTTGCGAAGAAGGATTTCACGTGGATCCCAGTCCACTACACTCTTTCTGGTGGATCAGCAACTGTATATTTACTGCTTCCTGCTCTTGTTCAGAACTGGAAACATCTTATCCATTTTGCTTCCAATTTCATCCTTTCTCTCACCTTCACCTGAGCCCTGTCTGACTCTTGCCTTCCCTTCCTTGACTTCTCTATATCCATTTTCAGGGATAGACTGTTAATGTTTATTATAATTGCAGCAACTCCCACATTTATATCAACTACATTTGTTGCATTCTGCTTCCTGTGACAACTTCATTCAATTTTCCCAGCTTTTCATCTCTGCAACAGAAGTGCCAAGGATACTAAGTCTTTGGATACACAAAGAAGAATGGGACATTGAAGAGGGCAATGAAAAATAGAAAAATATCAATTTATTTAGGGCCTTTCAAACATTGGACATGCTAAAGTGTTTTACAAACAATGACATACTTGCTGAAACGTAATTACTTTGGTCACGTTAGAGGTGATATTCAGTGCTCGGTAATTTACATGGTCCACCTAATCTTTTCTTCCAAGTTTTATAGCCAGCCCATTTGTATGGGAATTTTGTTTTCCTTTCATTGTATCTGAATTAATTCATTGTAATTGTTTAATTCATGGTAACTGCTGCATTTATTTCATTGTAACTGCTTATTTTAGGTATTGATCCTGATGACACATATAATGAAACTCCATATGAGAAGGGCTACTGCTTTGTATCATATTTGGCTCATCTTGTGGGTAATCAGGACAAATTTGATGCATTCCTTCGGGTAAGAACCCTTTACTAAGTCCCTTACTAATAATGATATTTATTTAGTTCCGTGATAAACTGGTTAACAGAGTTGCTTACACACCTGGCCTGTTTTAGATAAACCTTAAGGGAATTAGACATAGTTGTGGTTGTGCTCCAAAACCTCATTCGTTTTCAAGCTTAGCTGGAACCATTGAGTCTTAAAATGTTGGCTTACACACTATTTCTATCAACTTTTATTACAAGAAGTAACCTCCATTGACAAGTCTACATTTTGTTTTGTTTTGGGTTTTCAAATAGATATTTGGCTTGGGCTGTATGCGAAAGACTACTTCTGTACCCCAACAAAGCAGAATCTGACCTTATACCTGCAGTAATCTAATATTTACAGAAACTCTTGAGTAACACAAGTAACTTTCTTGATTTTGAGAAAAACTGTTGAACGATGTCCTAACCTTGTGATTGAGAAATAATAAACAGGTCGATTGTAATTTAAAGCATAAATTATATGACAGTTTAATTAAAAATTTGTCTTAAGCAGTAACAGCAGCTTGCACTTATTACTTGACATTTCATTAATTCAATTGTTAGTAGTAAACCTGGGATGGAGGCTTTGCTATTTTTATATAAATAGCTATTTGTAGTAGTCCCTGGGATGTTTCCATCCAAACTACGGTACTGATCTAGCAAACTGGGAGTATTCCACCTGGCATCACTTATTGTGTCCTTTCAGATTGATACCTGGAATATAGAAAACAGACTGTTCCTTCCATTGCTGAATTGTTTATCAAATTAACATGATGGTTTTCTAATCTCCGCCATTTATTTCGGAGCACAGCAAGCAAGACTGTTCTTTATGACTCCACTAACTTTGTAACGAATGTATCTGAATAACAATAATGCCTTTAGTTGACGCACCAAACAATGTGTGTACATTACTGTCAGGGGAGGCATTTTGCAGTAACTAAGTCTAGTTATCTGAAAGATAATCCTGTGTTTTAAATGGGAAAATTATTGTACAACAGGCAAAACAATCCTCTCTTGCAGTGCAAACATGTCACTGAATAGTATGGAAGATTCCACTATATCGTACATTTATGGGTAATGTTAGTCATTCCTGATGCTTTTTGGAACAGGTTAAGGAATTTGTTTTTCGAATTTTAAGTAGTTAAACAAAATGTATTCACGTATAGACTGATTTTAGACAAACAAATGGTGGAAAAGTTATATTGAAGAGCTCAGTATTCTGGGGACCAAGTATAGAAAACCACTAGAATTCTAGTCGAACATCAGATGAAATGTAACTGAATGAAATAACCAATTAAAACACAATATATTCTTTACATACAAAATAATCTTCAAGTTTAACTGCTAACGTAGAAATGTGCTTTTCTTTCAACCATTCTTTTCAAGAAAAGGCACTTGTTTTGGTTGTTGGTCAATCAAACATGATTATTTAAATACTGACAATTTTGCAAAAGGCGTGAAGATAATCGCCTCATTGGGTTTGGAAAATTATACAGTGGGTTGAAATTTAGACATTTTTTCACATTGTACTTGCACCCGATCCAAGATACTTGTTACATATGTTTTCTGACTAAAAGCATGCAACCTGGTTTTCAACTGTCCTACTGGATAGTTCGAGTTTTTGTGGATATTATTCCAAAATAAATTTTTAATCAAAACATTAGGAAGAGAAAAGAAGATTAGAGATGGTTTATAAATACTAGTTTTGTCAGTGAATTTCTCATTCCAAGAACATAGTTTCAGCTTTCTATTTCTCAGAAAATAGGCTGACTTTTATTGAAAATCCTTATGTATAATTGTGTATATCATTTTGGTCAAGGTTTTTGCTGCTTCCCAAGTATTTTCCTTTTATTTCTTTCCTTTTATTTCCTTTCAACAGTCTCCTTTTCCTTGCTTCCCTCACTGCAAATTAATTTTTGAGATACCTCCATCTATAGAAACTTTCCACACTGTTTTCTTTGAAAGGCAAAGTATTTGAAGGACAAGGACAGTTTTCCAGTTAATTAAAAGATAAAGTATCAGCTTGGCTCAGTCCTGACCTCTGAGAATGGAATATTGTGAATGTAATGCTAGCCTTGTAACTGAATGCAATCTAGTGAGGTATACATTGGATTGTTACAAGTGATGTCCTTTGGATGAACTAATCGATCAAGTTTCACTCTGTCTTGTTCAGCGGCTCAAGCGGATATTAAAAATCACGTACTGCTCAAAGAAGAGCACAAAATTGTGCCAGTATTCTGGCAAGCACTTGTCCCTCAAACATCTACCAAACACCAATTAAGTTATTCATTGAGATTCATGGAATTCTAAATGTCAATGCTGTGTCTCTACAGGTGCTGCCAGATCTACTGTGTTTCTCCAGCATTTTGTGTTTTTACTTCACATACCCAGCATCTGGAGTATTTTGCCTTTTTTTAAACTAGTCATTCACTCACCTCTGCTTGCAAAGCTTTCTTTTTCCTTTGCTGTGTTTCCCATGTATAAAATTTGGGAGGATATTTATTGAGCATACTTAGCAAGTTGCCTCCGAAGCCAAATGGAAACATGACAGAGTATTCATTTATGGTGGTCAGAGTAGTTCAGTGTAATGTGGATTAAATTCTGTGGCTAATAGGTACTATGAGAAGGATATGCCAAAATTTACTTGGCTGAGGTTTTCTGGATCAAAGAAACACATGATGTAAACACTAACTTGGAGACGAACACTTTGCTCTGGGATTCATGTTTGTCCAATACCTGACTGCAACACTGCATTTTCTTGTTTTTAAAAAAAAGTTTTGTTTTTATTCTTTCTAGGGATGTTAGTGTCATTTGCAAGGAGAGCATTTTGTTGCTCAACCCTAACTGCTCTCGAGTAGGTTCTGGTGAACTGCATTCTTGATCAGCTGAAGTCTATCTGGTGCAGGTACACAGGATAGAGAGCTCCAGGACTTTGTTCTTAAGAAAGTGAAGGAACAGCAATTCAGATCCGTACATGTGGCCTGGAGAGGAACTAGTTATGTGCCCCCTGCTTGGTATTCAGTTTTTAGCGTTTGTTTTCACTTGGACAAACTTTTATAGGATAGAAACCGAAAGAACTGCAGATGCTGTAAATCAGGAACAAAAACAAAGTTGCTGGAGAAGTTCAGCAGGTCTGGCAGCATCTGTGAAGGAGAAAAACAGAGTTAACATTTCGGGTCTGGTGACCCTACCTCAGAACTGAAATTGCACTCAGTTCTGAGGAAGGGTCACCGGACCCGAAACATTAAGTTTGTTTTTTTACCTTCATAGATGCTGCCAGACCTGCTGAGCTTCTCCAGCAACTTTTTGTTTTATAGACTAGAATTCCCTACAGTGTGGAAACAGGTCCTTCGGCCCAACAAGTCCACACCGACCCTCGGAACATCCCACCCAGACCCATACCCCTATAACCCACCTAATCTACACATCCCTGAATACTACGGGCAATTTAGCATGGTCAATCCACCTAGCCTACACATCTTTGAACTGTGGAAGGAAATCGGAGCCCCTGGAGGAAACCCACGCAGACATGGGGAGAATGTGCAAACTCCACACAGACAGTGGCCCGAGGGCGGAATCAAGCCTGAATCCCTGGTGCTGTGAGGCAGCAGTGCTAACCACTGAGCCACCGTGCCGCCCTAATTCTCTCTTGTTATATCCTTAATGCTGTCTTGTTTGTTTGCAGGCTTATGTGGACAGATTCAAGTTTCAAAGTATTGTAGCTGAGGATACTTTGGATTTCTATTTAAGCTATTTCCCAGAGCTCAAGGAAAAGAATATCGAAAAAATACCAGGTAATGCTGTTTTATTAAATTTGTACTTAAAGGGAGGAATGCTCTTGTCATTGTAGTGCTGTTATTCAGAATTTATCTTTTTAATGTTAATAATGGCTTATTATGGTTTTCCAAGATATCTATATTATACTTTTACATGTTTAGAAACTAACTTGATACTTCTAGAGGTATTCTTGTATAGATAATTAAGGGCTGCCCATATTTGAGAGACACAAAATGGTTGACAGCTAAGCTGAGCCTCTAGCCCTGCAGAAAATGGCTGACAAGTGGTTAAACAGAATTAAAAATCTGTTTAAGTGAGATCAGGAGTTGACACAATGGTACCTTTTGATTAGGGGTTATTCCAAGTTGAAAGGGAGCTTTGCACAGACAACAGCTGCGAAAAGATTTGCTTGAGACAGTTTGATAAGAAACGTCCAAGAACAGACAGTTTGAAGATTTGGAACTTGCATTGAAGGGAAAAGTAAGCTCCTCCAATAACAAACACAAATGAACTAATGGGATTATGGCTTGTAAAAATCTACAGGAATAAACAAATTCATTAAACTATGACAGTGATTGATTACAGTCTCATTAATGAAAGGATGTTGTCCCATTAGGTGAAGAGTTAGTTAGGACAAGGGCTGTAAACCTCATCTCAGAACACTACGTGTTCAGCCTAGGTCACGGTATTGCTGTGAAAACAATAGATAAAGACATTTTGCAGTAATTAATCAGTTCTTCAAAATTGTTCACAATGTTAAGTAGATTCTAGTTAAAGATTCTTCAGATAATCAGAGATTACCATGTAATTATAAATACACATGTAACAAAAATACAAAGATCACTAAAGGCACAAGGGAAAAAGGTTCCAATAAAGATGTGAAAATTAACAAGTCTCAGATTTATCATTAAAAGAGAGCCTAATGCACCCTAGTGCATCCAAAGATGTGCAAGTTAGGTGGATTGACCATGCTAAATTGCCCATCGTGTTCAAATGTGTGGGTGGCTTAGACGTGGGAAATGTAGGATTACAGGGATGGGATGGGTCTGGGTGGGATGCTGTTTGGATGGTTGGTGTGGACCTGTTGGGCCAAATGGCCTGTTTCTACAGTGTAGGGATTCTGAAATTCTGATTCTATAACCCTGTGTGAAACAAACTGCTCGCCACTCATTAGCTAAAGAATGCTAACAGTAGGGGTAGATATAAAACTTTACATATAACTAACTTCATAATAGAATTATTATAATGAATCTTATAGCAATTAGTAAGAACCAACTGTCTTTTGTATCTTTTATAATTAGGACAATGGGAAATATAAGATGAGTAACAGAATTGCATAGGGATAGCAAATGAATACAATGAATAACAGAATTCAAGCAGTCCTTAGAGATATGTAAGTCTGAGACATGTCTAAAGGAGTATAGCCAGTAACTTTGGAATGCGAATTAATAGGATGCATTGAAAGAGCCCAAGACCTGGTGATTACAATGTCCGTTAAACAGTACGAGACCATGAGAAACCTGGAGCTGTCCGTAGAAGTGTACGTCATTGATTAGGTGCTTCACAGGATTTGATGTATAGGATAAAGGGAAAGGCTCAGTGACCATGTTCTAAGTGATTATTGTAACACAAAATGTGTAAAGATAATGTGAAAGTCTGAGCATCATCGATCTCTCTTCCGACCTGAGCGAAAGATTAAGGGGATAATCATGCCCTCACATCGAGGGCAGATTCGGAGGGGTAGTCTATGGCTGTCTCCCTGCATGATTCAGTGACTGATTAAATAAAGACTGCTACATGCCTGAATTCTGCCTGCCTTCTGTGACTTTGTCCCCTGCTGGGGGGATTTGCTCCTGGAATAATGGACTCCTGATAAGATTGTAGTGCATTTAAAGGATTCTGATATCTTCAAATGCAAGATTAGTTAATTTTAAGCTTTCTTGATGCTGCCTAATTTCATCATAATTGTTTATGTACCAAGGAATTATCAATCTCCTTTTCTCACTGGCTGGTAAAAACAGAGAATGTGAACATAAAAAACTTTATTTACATTTGTGCGAACTATTGGTTACATTGCATTTTATCCACTTCTGGGATCTTAATATTTATTAAATATTAAAAATACTGAGTTAAGTTGCAATATTCCAATTCAATTTGAGTTGAAGACTCCTATCTCCGACTGTGTCCATGGAAACAAGTATCAGTATTTACACTCAGCACCATCTATAAATGCATCAGGTGCTATGTTCTGCATCAGTAATAATCCATCAGCAGTTCTGAAACTTTGTAGCCCACAGCCCCAGAGTTGAGCAAAAGACAATGCGGACCACTTTTCGGTCTTCTCTCACTCACATTACATACATAGAAACAAACAAATTAGGAGTGGGAGCAGGCCTTCAGCATTTAAGCCTCCTCTACTCTTTAATGAGATTTGTTTGATTTGATTGTGGCTTCAACTCTACTTGCTTGCCTACCCATTATACTCTTTGATTCACTTGTTAAGGTACAGTGAGATTGTTAATTAAGAATATTTAATGACCCTGTATCCACTGCTTTCTGAGAAAGATAATTTCACAGGCTAGAACCCTCAGAAGTTCTGTTCTCTCCCACAAGGGGGAAAGTCCTCTTGGTATCCATCCTGCCAAGTCCCCTCAGGATCTTGCATGTTTGAATAAGATCACTTGTCAATTTTTAAACTCCAACAGAAACTGGCCAAACCCGTCTAATCTTTCCTTCTGAGATAACCAGGCGTAGAGCTGGATGAACACAGCAGGCCAAGCAGCATCAGAGGAGCAGGAAAGCTGACGTTTCGGGCCTAGAACCTTCTTCAGAAATTT